GTTCCACCGACTTTCTCTCCCTCCCTCCTATCCTCCCAACCACTCTCCCACCCACCATAAACTTCCTCCCCCCGCCCCTGGCCCGCCGTACGCCCCCTCGGACCCCTCTATCTTTGTATCCGCGTGCGCGAGGCGCGAACGGTCGAGCTAAGCGAAAGAGGGGAGGAGAGAAAGAGAGAGAGAGAGAGAGAGAGAGAGAAAGGAGGAGAAAGAAAGACGGCCGGACGAGTGCGAGGGAGAGAAGGAAGAGAAGGTGGAGAAGGAAGGAAGGAGAAGAAGGAGGAGGTGAAGGAGGAGGAGGTGGAGGAGGAGAGCGACGAAACGAGAAGTAGAGAAAGGAGCGAGAGAGGGAAAGAGGACTGCTACTCCTGGGGCCCCCCACCATGCGGCCTGCCGCCGCGACGCCAGTCCGTAGTCAGTCAGCGCTGGACCGCCGCCCGCTCGATTTCGCGATCCACGAACGACGGTAGCCTCCACCTCCACCACCTCCTCCTTCTCCTTCATTTCTCTCTATCTCGACGCCTCTCTCTCTCTCTCTCTCTCTCTCTCTCTTTCTCTCTCTCTCTCTTTCTCTCTTTACCCCCTTCCGAGCATTATCTTTCTTTCTCTCTCTCTCTCTTTCTCTCTCTCTCTCTCTCTCTCTCTTTTTCTTTCCATCTCTTTCACTCTTCTTTTAATCTTTTCTCTCTTTTGCAATCTTTTTCTTTCTTTTTCTGTTTTTTCTAACCTATTCGTCTCTCTCTCTCTCTTTCTTTCTCTCTGTCTCTGTCTCTGTCTCTGTCTCTCCGTCTATCTTTCTCTACTTTTCTCACTACTTTTATTTCTTTTTCTTTCTTTTTCTTTCTCCGTCTTTCGTACCGTCCGAAACTCCACGAACGTCGCGCGCGAGTTTCGAGAACGAAGTCGCGCGAGATTGCTTCGAAAGTCGCGAGAAGGGAATCCTTCAAAACGGAGAAACTTTTTATCTCTTTTTATCCGATCTCTCATCCCTTCTACCTCTCTTTGTTTCTTTTTGTTCTTTGTCTCCTTTCTTTTTTTTCTTTATTTGTCCCCCCAATTCCCGTACGTTCTCGCGTAATAATTTTTTCGCGCACGGTCAAAGATCGCAACGGTCAACGACGAATGGAGGGAGGGAGAGTTTCGAGATCGCACTCTAACCTCTCTTCCTTCGGTTTTTTTTCTCTCTTTTTTTTTCTTTTTTTTTTCTTTTTTTTTTTCTCTTAATTTTTTTTTATTTTTTTTTTTCTCTTAATTTTTTTTCCCCCATTTCCTCGTAGGTGTTGCGTCGTTCTAACATATTGCAAAATCGATGGAAGAAGAGCAACGAAATAGTTTGATAAAGAGTGCGGCTAAAGCTTTTGAACGTTAGAGTTGGTTTGACTTCTTTGACTTATCGTTTCGCGCCTACGGATTCGAAGATGGCCGAAGAAGCTCGAGAAAGGTATTACTGCTGTTGCTACGCCTTCGACGATTCCGTTAACTCACTGGTGTCTCCTGCCACTATCTATTGCCACAACTACGTTAACACGACGACGATGATGATGACGACGACGACGACGACGACGAAGACGACGTCGACGACGACGACGACGATGACGAATATGACGACGACGATTCTTCGTGAAAGAGTGTGAGGAAAAGAATATTTATATATATATATATATATATATATATATATACATATATATATATATATAGGTATTATCTTACTATTATTGTCGGACGACAGTAATGTAAACGATAGTACGTAATACATATACGTATACACGTATATACATACATATATATGTATAATATTATTGCGCGGGAACGCAAAACGTGCCGGTAATATGAAATAAGAAGAAGAGATAAATAAAAGAAGAAAAAGAAGAAGAAGAAGAAGAAAAGAGTGGAAAAAGTGCAAAGTGTTTTGTCGTTTTATATCACCGATAAGCGAAATAATAATAAGTCGTCGTATGGTGTCGCCACAATAGCTAACGATGAACAACGCGTGGTGGAGGATGACGATGATAGGGAGGAAGACGACAAATTCTACGAAGAAATCGATGATGAAAATCGAATCTCCGTCGACAACTATGAGGTAGTGGTCGTCGGACACGTGCTGTGTGCCCTGGGTGAACTGTAGTGTGCGCGGGAAGGATCGAGAAATAGAAATAGATAGATAGATAAATAGATAGATAGATATATATATATAGATAGAGAGAGAGAGAGAGAGAGAGAGAGAGAGAGAGAGAAAGATAGATAGAGAGAGAGAAAGCGAGAGAGAGAGAAAAAGAGAAAGAAAAAGAAAGAAAGAAAAAGTGGGAGACTATCGCCTTTGGTTTCCCGCGTTAGTTCGTTTGCCACGATTTTTCTCGTTGTACGGGCGTAGCGTTCTTTTTTTCGGGACCAAATCGTCGGAGGCTAAGGAGAGAAGAGCTGGAGTCCACAGGGATAATCGAGCAACCCCGAAGGACGCAGATGCCCCGAAGGAAACAGCACGCACCGCAACGAATGAAATGTAAGTTTCTTAAAAACAAAAACAAACAAAAACGAAAAAAAATATCCCCTTGCCTCTTTCATCTCTCTTTTTTCTTCTTTGTATATCTTTCCGTGAACGAATTCTTACGAGTCTAATTTAAATTCCTCCCCTCCCCCCATCTCTCTTATCAACCCTCTTTCCAGTCCATCTCTGTGTATATATATGTATATATATGTGTGTGTGTGTGAGAGTGTGTGTGTGTACGTTCGTTCGAAATTTCGTTAAAAGTTTTCATTTGGTTCGACTTGTGTTACACGAAAAATGTCGATCGAACGAATTGTCCTAAGAGATTTTTTCTCTTCATTCCTATCCCCCAAAAGTCCCGTCGTTATTTTTGTTCCTCTCTTCTATTTTTTACTTTTTTTAATTTTTTTTCTTTTGAAAAAGATAGAACCGTCTATGTTATATATCAGCAACGTTTGTCGTTTCTTCCTTTGACCATGCGAAAGTGCGCCGTAAAGCAGCGCGTAGCGTCGGCAAGCCACGTGCTATTATTTTGCGTGTAATCGGTTAAGCTCGTGCTGGTTCGTTCGTTCGTTCGTTCGTTCGTTCGTTCATAGCGTCGTCGATCCTATCAACATCGTTTTTTTCTTGAAAGTTCTTTGAAACGTTGTATTAAAGGTTACTAACAGAGACACTGACTTTCCGCGAAAATTTCTAAGTCCTTTTGTCTTATACTACTTTTGGCCAAGTTAATGCACGATTTCGTTTATAAATTGTTTTTTAAGAACGCGTGTATCCAAAATACATACCACTTTACATATATATACATATATACGTATATAAATGAGTACCTAACAACGATTTTTAAAAATCAATTTTTGAACATAACCTAAACTCGAAATATGTGTATATATATATATCGAAATATATATATATATCGTCGTCTATATCATTTTTTCTTGATGCATAAATCGTTTTCTCGTCTATAGATCAAAACTCGAGATCAACATACTTTAATATTTATATATGTATATGATCGTTAATACCATTGCGCCTACACGTGAGCCTTGTAAGTAAGTACGTAAATACTTATTTACGTATCACAATGTCTCTCCTGTTAGAATGTTAGACAACGAAGAAGTACAAATTAGAAAGTCAATGTCCTTTATGGAGGACAAACTGTGGCCGAAGAGGTTAATTACGTAAATGCTTTTAAAAAAAAAAAAAAAAAGAAAAAACATCGTCGAATTATCATCCGTTCGCTCACGCATTCGTTTCCTCTCTCCCCTTTCTCTCTCTATCCCCTCCTCTTTCTCTTCTTATGACGTGTCTTTTTTTCTATCTCTCTCTCTCTCTTTCTCTCTCTCTCTCTCTCTCTCTCTCTCTCTTTCTTTCTTTCTCTCTCTTTCTTTCTTTCTTTCCTCTTTCTCTCTCTCTCTCTCTCTCTCTCTTTCTCTCTCTTTCCCTCTGCGGAACATTTACAACCTACCTCAAACGAACGAAAGACTTCTATATAAAGTCACGTTTACGTACGTACATTTTCTAAGTTTTATATATCTCTCTCTCACTCTCTTTTTCTCTTTGTTCATACATAATGTATGTATGTATGTACGTATATATATATATATATATATATATATATATATATATATATATATTATATATACATATGGAAAAATAATTTTCAAACGTTCAATGTTTGATCTCCCAATATGAGAATCGATATTTGATATCCGTCTGGATAATGATTCGACTTTTGCTCGAGTTGAGTTGAAATTTGACGAGTCGGTCGAAGGGTGACAAGCGTCGGAAAGAAGAACAGGGGAAGAAGAGGATCCGAAGGCCGTAACGCGCGCCATGCTGCTTTTCCCACGTGGGAAGCCATGAGGCGTAAACAAACTCGCCCCCAACGGAGGACGCCATCTTGGTGAAGTTCTCTGCCGGAAATATTTACAATTCACTCAACTTGCCCTACCAAAACTTGACCAAGCACCTATAAATCTTTGCTTGTCTATCTGTCTCTCTTTCTCTCTCTCTCTCTCTCTCTCTCTCTCTCTCTCTCTCTCTCTCTCTTTCTCTCTCTTTCTCTCTCTCTCGTTCTCGCTCTCGCTCTCGCTTTCTTTGTCTCTGTCTCTTTCTTTCTCTGTCTCTCTAATATGCGCACGCGTGCGATTCTCTTCGCGAACTTCGTGAACATAAATTCGTACAATATACTCATCACATTGTCTTTTCTTTTTTAATGCTTTAAGAAATGCGCGAAACTAATGCGAATAGATTGGTAAAGGCCGTACAGACGCCATCTTGAAAGCGATCGCAAGATACTCGATAAGGAAAATATTTCCTGTTCTTCTTATTGCGTTTATAGTTCTATCTTTTCTTTTTCTTTTTTCTTTCTTTTATTTCAGACGAGTTTTCGTTTGTTTCATAAATACGTCGTTGATAGTCTCTATTCTTTAACCTTTTGTTTTGTTTTGTCTTTTTTTTTTTTTTTTTTTTTACATAGAAAAAACAGGGAGAGAGAGAGAGAGAGAGAGAGAGAGAGAGAGAGAGAGAGAGAGAGAGAGTGAGAGAGAGAGAGTGAGAGAGAGAGTGAGAGAGAGAGAGTGAGAGAGAGAGAGAGAGTGAGAGAGAGAGAGAGAGAGAGTAAAGGGAATAAAGAATGTGAAATTTTTTTTTATTAATCCACTTGAATTTACGAAGCAAATTCACCGTATGCATGTATATATCGGGTGATGAAAATATAAGGCGTATGTACTACTTACGTGCAGGATATAGAATATGATATGGTAATCAAAAGAAAGAAAATCGCGAATTTCCGATTCGGATTTTGATGCATTTGAAGTGGAACGAATCTCATATACGAATGCTATAAATCCAAAAGTAAAATGATATGTGGGCCAAGGACGATGCATCGATGATTTCTTAGATGATCTTTATGTTCTCATAACAGAAATATATAGGTACAGTACGTAAATTTAAAAGCCATAGTTATAAACGAGATTGTTTGTCAGGAGGTAAAATCTACGTAGATATTTATTTATTTATTTATTTACAATGTGTCACAAAAATATTCGGATATTTTTTAAATCGAATAAATTGTTTTTTGTAAACTTTATGCAAAGTATTCTGATTTTTCCTTTTTTCTTTTTTTTTTTTTTTTCTTTATATATACATAAGTATAGAAATCTTATAAATAGTATAAAATAGTATAAAATTTGTAAGCTCGTTTATTTCATGTACATCTTGTAAATATTATAAAAATACGATCAATTTTGGATCGAGTTAATACAAAAAATTAATAAAAAAGTATTATAATTATCATTTACGTCGTTACGTCATTATGTCTTAGAACTTATTATTTTAACTGTGACTTTAAATATTTAAAATTAATGGATTTTAATGTACAGATTGCACATATAAGATAAGCCGATCTTCAAACTGTATATATTTCAACTGTATATAAAAAATACAAACTGTACTTTTTTTTAATATATTTTTGTATTCTTTGTTAGATATTTTTTTTATCGTTGGTCCAACAAAACTGTATTTCTTTTTTCTTTTTTTTGAAATCCCCTTACATATTTCATACAATACACTAATCGTTCTGTACCCAATTAATGTTTCAAAGAAATTTGTTCAGTCTAAAAAAAAAAGTGACATGTTTCTCTATGATTTATGGTATTTACGGTATTTTATTTGAAACGTTGAATTGAGAATTCAATATGAGGAAGGTTAAAGTATATAATCGCAAAAGTGAAAACTAATATATCACGGCGGATATTACGATGACACGAGGCGAGTAAAGATGCATCGTTTGGTATTATTCGCTTTCGTTTCGACTTTTCTCGAAGAACTTAGAAATATTAAAACCATTTAAATGAATGTTATAATATAACTAACTGGTGATACAGAAAGTTTCTATCCGTGTGAAAAGGATAAAGCCATCAGCGAAAGTAGACGTGTGGTTTGCGAGGCTTAAGAAAATAACAAAATATGGCCTGGAGCCTGCGGATAAAAGCGAAGTGCAAGCCGACCGTGGTTAATTTCTCCGCTTCGATTTATGATGTTCCCTTCTCGAAAGGATCTCGCAAAACATCGATTCGTTCGGATCGATCTTTCAAGTAAGTACTTAGGTAGGTAGGTAGGTAGGTAGGTAGGTAGGTAGGTAGGTAGGTAGGTAGGTAGGTAGGTAGGTAGGTAGGTAGGTATCGGTGCACGGCCGTTTCAAACTGCATCGAAGAGAACTAATTAGCAATATTTTAACGACGAACTATCACCAATTTCCTTCGATCGATTCTCTTCATCTTTGTCTTTCTATAGTCATCGGTAACACACTTTATGAAAGGCTAATGTATGTATATACATACATAAGTACTTAGATACATATTCATCGATGTGTATGTAAGTACTTATGTACTTACTTTTATCGGCGAGGGTTCGTTCTTATCGTCGTAGATTCAAATAAAACCTTGGAAAAAGAATAAGAAAAGAAAAAAAAAAAAGAAAAGAGAAAAAGAAAAAGAAAAGGAAACTCAAGAGAAAAGGAAAGTACAAGTTTTATTAGTCGTGTATAATGTTCTTGATGCTTAGATACTAATTGAATTGAAATCATTGGATTTTTATAGTTATTTATAGTATCTAGCTGTAGATAGGCATCGAAAGGAAGGAAAAATTAGGAAAGGATTTTTATTTAATTTAAAGGGAAAAGAAAAACTCACAAATTCATGAGAAAGGACCGTTTTATTAGATTAAGTCTTGCCGAATGTTTTATTACACGATACATTTATATGTTTAAATATTCGATATAATAGAAAAAAAAGGAAAATAAAAAAGAGGCTGTTGAATGACTAAAGAAAGGGAATTGTTTTAGATCAAAGTAAAAGATTTAACAAAAATAGAAATTTATTAAGCTGTAACGACATAATAGTAGTAAATCGACTATATTATCTTTGTTGGTGTATATACATATATTAGGGGAACCGGAAAGTAATGTCGTTTCTGCGCATGTCGATATTTGATTGTGATTAAAAATAAAA